CACACACACACACACACACACACACAGTATCACCTCACATCCATTAGGATGGCTACTATCAGGAAAACAGAAACTAGTATTCACGGGGTTGTGGAGCAGTTGGAACGTTTGTGCACTGCTGACGGGATTATGAAATGGCGTAAGAACTAACAGGAAAATAGGCTGGCAGCTCTTCAGAAAATTAAAATTAGAACTACCATATGATCCAGCAATCCCACTTCTGAATATATCCAAAAGAACTGCAATATCTAAGAGATATTTGCACATCCATGTGCATAGCAGCATTATTCATAATTGCCAAGAAGTGGAAGCAATCCAAATGTCCATCAATGGAAGAATGAAGAAGTGGTTTATACATACTGTATTTGTTAGGTCTCCAGAGAAACAGCCAATCGGATGTATACACAGAGATTTATTATAAGGAATTGGTTCACCTGACTACAGAGGCTGGCATGTCTAAAATCTGCAGGATAGACTGGCAGGCTGGAGACCCACGGGCCCAATGATCCAGTTTGAGTCTGAAGGCAGTCTGCTGAAGAACCAGGAAGAGCTGATGTGGTAAATGAAGTCCAAACGCATTCTGCTGGAGAATTCTCAATTGCTGAAGAAGGTGGATCTTTTTTACTCCATCAGGCCTTGAGCTCACTGGATGAGGCCATTCACATTTTGGAAGGCAATTTCCTTTATTCAGAGCCCACCAATTTAAATGTTAATCTCATCCAAAATCACCCGCACAGAAGTACCCAGAATAATGTTTGACCAAATATCTGGGCACCCCATGATCCAGCCAAGTTAATATATAAAATTAACCCTCACACATACAATGGAATATTATGCTGCTTCAAAAGGAGGGAAATCCTGTCATATGCTACAACATGGATGAACCTTGAGGACATTATACTAGGTGAAATAAATTGGTTACGAAAATACAAATGTTGTATGATTTCACTTATATGAGGTAACTAAACGTAGAATAAATGCCTGGCATTAAGCTTCTGATTGCCAAGACATCTGTTTCAAAAGATAGCCATTAGAATAAACATACTTCCAGGTGTATGACACAGCCACTAGGTAAAACAATCAGATTAGGAACTAGGTCACCCACACCCATTTAGTTCCCGTTACAGAGAGTCCTGGGTGACTCAGATAACTGACCGCTTGAGTGACCCTGCTTCCACTTTCCCATGACCTAATTTCTGCTCCTGTGTTTCAAATTAGCCAATAATGAGTGACCCCACAAATCCCCAGACATTCCACCCTTGGACCCTAATAAAATCAGAGCCCCAGCTCCCCCCTCTAGCCCTCTCTTTCTAGTTGTGACCATACTTGTACCACGTACCCTTCAAGACTTGTGAGTAATAAATCCTGTTCCTCAAATTCCCCAATTATTTTTGCTAAAGTGCATCCTGCATCATAAGAACCACAAGGATTAGTCCAGTCACATCACTGGCCCCTGCGGGGGATATCAGCAGGTCTCACTGCAGGTAAAACAGGCCCCAACAACTGGCTCAGGCATTCCTAGCTGAGTGCATCTCCATCAATAAGCTGGACAGGACACAACACCAGAGTAGTCAGATATATAGGAAAAGTGAGTAGAAAGATGGATATTAAAAGCTGGGGTAGAGGCGCCTGGGTGGCTCAGTCGATTGAGTGTCTGAATCTTGATTTTGGCTCAGATCTCACAGTGGTAGGACTGACCCCCCCCACCCCCACCCCACAAGCTCCGTGTTGGGCATGGAGTCTGCTTGGGATTCTCTCTCTCCCTATCTCTCTACCCTTCCCCTGCTTGCATGCATGCTCTCTCTCTCTCTCTCAAATACATATATTAATTAATTAATTAATTTTTAAAAAAGGTACCACTTCAGTTCTTCAGGACGAAGAAGTTCTGGAGATCTGTTTCATAGTAATGCACATATACTTAGCACAACTGACTTGTACACTTTAAAACAGTTAAGATGGTAAATTTTTTCAAAAGGACATTCTGATCAGGCTAGGGGGAGGGGAAGTGGGGTGTAAGTGTTTCACAGGTACAGAGATCCAGTCTGGGACAATGAAAAAGTTCTGGAGATGGATGGTGAGGGTGGTTGCACAACTATGTTAACATGGTGCCACTAAACTATAATCTTAAAAATGGTTCAAATGGTACTTTTTATGTTATATATATATATATTTTACATATAATAAAAGAGGGACTAAATATAATATGTAGGTTTTATTTAGATTGCAATTCATATAAACTATAAATAACTGTATAAGGTAATCAAGAAAATTGTGGCACCTGGGTGGCTCGGTCAGTTAAAAGTCCAACTTTGGCTCAGGTCATGATCTCCCGGTTTATGAGTTCGAGCCCCACATCGGGCTCTGCTGACAGGTCAGAGCCTGGAGCCTGCTTCAGATTGTGTCACCCTCTCTCTCTGCCTCTTCCTAATTCATACTCTGACTTTCTCTCTCTCTCTCTCTCTCTCTCAAAACTAAATAAAACATTAAAAAAATTTTTTTAAAGAAAATATAAAATGTCTAGGTATCTGGTGATATCAATAATTATATTACATCAATAATTCATATATAGAATAATTTTATATAGTAGTTATATATAACGGTGACTATGAAATAAAGAACTCTTACCTTCAAGAAATATATATTGAAGTATATATCTATATATCTTCTCTGAGATTTGCTTCAAAATAATTTCAAGCTCAGGGGCGCCTGGGTGGCTCAGTCAGTTAGGTGTCCAACTTTGGCTCAGGTCACGATCTCATGGTTGATGAGTTCAAGCCCCGCATTGGGGTCTATGCTGACAGCTCAGAACCTGGAATCTGCTTCGGATTTTGTGTTTCCCTCTCTCTCTACCCCTCCCCTGCTCGCACTCTGTCTCAAAAATAAACATTAAAAAAATAAAAGATAAAGGGGCACCTGGGTTGGGTGGCTCAGTTGGTTAAGCATCTGACTCTCAATTTTGGCTCAAGTCATGATCTCACGATTTGTGTGTTCGAGCCCCACATCAGGCTCTGCACTGACAAAGCAGAACCTATTTGAAATTCTCTTCCCTTCCCCCTCTTTGTCCCTTCCCAACACTCTCTTTCTCTCAAAAAAAAAAAAACAAAAAAAACATTTAATAAGAAAGGATGGGAAGGAGAAGGGGAAAAGGAGGAAGGGAAGGGAAGAAACAGAGGAACTATGTCACCCTGTGATGGAGTAATGCCCTCAGGGACTACCGAGACCGCTGGTCCTAATGGCCTGTAGCAGGCAGAATGGCCTACAGATACAACCTCATAAAAATTACTAGAGCTTGTGAATATGTTAGCTTATGCGCCAAAAGTGACTTTAGAGACATGATTAAGGACACAGACTTCAGGGTGGGGGTACTGCACTGAGTACATGGATGGGTGCATTCTAATCACAACAGTCCTTATAAGCAGAGAACCTTTCTGGGGTGCAGTCAGAGAGATGAGTTGGAGAGATCTGAAGCTTGACAGGAAATGGCTCCCAAGACAGAGGGGAGGGTCTCAAGGCCAGGAATGTCAGCGGCCTCTAGAAGCTGCGAATGGCCCCCAGCTGACCACCAGCAATGAGATGAGAGACCTCCATCCTACAACTGCAAGGAACTGAATTCTACCAACATTCTGAGCAAGCAAGGAAATGTGTTCTCTCCTACAACTTCTCCAGAGAGGAACACTGAATTTGGCTTGGTGAGATCCATATTGCACTGCTGACCTAAAGTATAAGGTAACAAATGTGTTCTTTTAAACCCGAAACTATGATAATTTGATATGGCAGAAGTGGAAAACTAATACCTGGTCCAAAACATCTATGATTTTCAATGTTTCTGTCTGCATTTTACATTTCCCCCCCTACTTTCCTTTGGTATATATAGTCTATGACTGCTGCTTCTTTATCACTTCAAATGTGCTCTGGGAGTGGAAAGCAAATATACTTTTGTTCACTCACTCAACACCACCTAGCAGATATCCAAGGGAGGCCTACTCTCTATCAGACAGCCAATAAGCTGGACACTAGGGCTGTAATGGGGACCAGCCTAAGAGGCTGGTGTGCGCACCCAGATCTACAGCAGCACCAGCACTGGCTTTATCTACTAGCGCCCTGATTCCAACCAAACGCAATCAGCCACAGATGCTGGGTGTAACTAGACATCACAGGCTGCACAGTTTCTCAGGTAACCGGTACTGACAATTTGCTATTAAGAGATTCTTAAAGTGGTTCCGACACCAACAGCAGGAATCACCTGAGCTGCGTGGATAAACATGCATATCCCTGGGCCCTCGGCTTGAATAGCCAGCAGGGACAGAGCCTGGGAAGCTGCACTTTAACAAGCTCTTCAGCTGATTTGGAGGCATCCCTAAGTTTGAGAAGCAGGCCACTGCGGGGTCCAGTGGGCCCAGCCCCAGCTCTCTGGGAGTGACACGACTCTGAGTAAGGGCCACAAACCTGTAGGCAATGTATAAAAACAACAGTGCGTGGGGGGCGGGGGGAGGTGTACAAAGATTTGATGCCGTTTTGGTGATTACAGAGATAAAATGTTGAGTATGCAATTAAGTTTGCAGATTACCTTCAAATATTTTTTAAAAATCTAGAGATTAGCTTGTTTACAGATTTTCCTAACAGTATAACAAAAAGCCTAAAGAACACCTACTGAGTGGCAAATGCTCAGAGTTGGGGTTATAGAAATTCGTACTTTTTTTGTGTCATGCATTAGGGTATTGTTTGAATACTTAAAAACAAATATTTACTGTACTTCCAAGGCATCTACATTCCAAAATAAAAAGTTGAAAAAAAAAAAAAAGAAAAAAGAAACACTTTTGCTACCAGAAGGCTGAAAAGAGCATCATTTTTCAAGTCATATAAACTAAAACAAAAGTAAAATCAACAACTATCACCGAAATTAAATCGTCATATCTGCATTATGTTTTCCTATAATTTTGCTATTTTATCTGGGAACGCCTAAAGACCAACACACTTACTGAAAGAATACTTCACTTTACCTTTTAGCTACTGAAGACGTTCCATATTGTCTTCTGCGATACCTGGCCACCAGCGACATCTTAAGTCCTAGAAGAATAAATTGCTTTTCTTTAGGAATAAATTAGAAAACCATCTGCACAGCATCAACAGCACTGTGAAACTTTTACGAGCAGCCATGCATGCCTCTAACCCCCACCCGCACCCCATCATACTAAGTGTCAAGCAAACACAACAATGCAGACCAGCTAACCACAACCCTGAGATACCCTCCCAACTCTATTTCTCTGCTAAAGAAAATGTCTAAGTCAACACAACTCTAGAGACGATGCAGGAAGGAAGCACTGGCGGAGAGCCTCATGGGTTGGGAAAAAGGGAAAGAGGTTAAGTGATGAGGGAAACAAAGGCAAGAGAAATGTAGCTCAAATTAAATCTCCTTACAGCTCAAAGCCCACTGACACCTGAAACAGGCAGAGCGTGACCTTGCTGCCATGCAACTCATGGCTGCCTTACTTCCTTGAGGTTTTTGTTTTATTAAAGACTAAAAGTAACCTTACCTTAACAGTAGCTAACCTTATCTTAACAGTACCCTAAAGGTCCCGAAAGGCTTCCTTTCAAATTTCTTAGAGACTTATACTCTCCCTAAGCTCCACTAACTCAAAAGTATACACTCAGTCACTCCTCACAAGCCCAGAGCAGCTCTTTCTGCCCACGGGTCCCATCCCCGTGCTTTAATAAAACCACCTTTTTGCACCAAAGATGTCTCAAGAATTCTTTGTTGGCTGTTTGCTCAAGAACTCCATCAGTTAAGTATGAACTAAAACTCACAGTAACTCATAGTGGCAACGTGTGATGAAACAAACAAACATGAGTTTTATTTCACTGATTTCAGTTCCACTTTGGTGTTTCATCTTCCTTTAGAACCATATGCTGCTTGGTAAGGAGATGTGGCAAAGCCAAAACACGTCATCCAAGGCCAGATTTGGGGCCAGCAAGGATGGTTTCCTTTTCCTTAGTGATTTGTGCATTTGTCTATCTCCAAAAAAAGGTCTATGACTAAAAGAGAGAACCAATAAAGTATTAAAATAAGGAGGAAAAAGCACCAAAATAAGGAATTTTTCCACTATTTTAAGTGATATAATTCACACACCATAAAATTCGCCCCTTTTTTTTTTGAGAAAGAGCTCGCGTGCACACGTATGAGCAAGGGAAGTGCAGAGGGAGAGAGAGAATCTTATAAGCAGGGTCCATGCTGGGCGCACGGGGCTCCATCTCACAGGTCTCCATCGCGCATGATCGTTCAGATCATGAATTGGGCTGAAAGCAAGAGGTGGATGCTTAACACACTGAGACACCTACGTGCTCCTAAAATTCACCCATATAAAGGTAAATTTTAGGGGCACCTAGGTGGCTCAGTCAGTTAAGTGTCTGATTTCAGCTCAGGTCACTATCTCATAGTTCATGGGTTCAAGCCCTGCTTTGGGATCTGTGCTGACAGCTCAGAGCCTAGAGCCTGCTTCAGATTCCGTGTCTCCCTCTCCTTCTGCCCTTCTCCAACTCATGCCCTCTCTCTCTCTCTCAAAACTAAACATTAAAGGGGCGCCTGGGTGGCTCCGTCGGTTAAGCATCCGACTTCGGCTCAGGTCATGATCTCGCGGTTCGTGGGTTTGAGCCCCACGTTGGGCTCTGTGCTGACAGCTCAGAGCCTGGAGTCTGTCTTCGGATTCTGTGATTCCCTCTCTCTTTGAACCTCCCTTGCTCATGCTGTCTCTCTCTCTCTCTCTCAGAAATAAATAAAACATTAAAAAAAATTTTAAAAAGTTTAAAAAATTTTTGTAAATAAATGTAAATGTTATGGTATGTATATTTTAGAACATTCACAAAGTTGGGCAACCATCACCACTTATATAATTCCAGAACATCTTCATCACCAGCACCCTCCCCCAATTTCCAATAGTAGTTACTCTCTATGCTCCCCTCCTCCTAGCCTCTGGCAATCACTAACGCACTTTCAGTCTCTTTGGAATTGTGTATCAGATATTTTATACAAATGGAATGTCCTCTTTTGTTTCATTGAGCATACTTTGGTATGCTGTGGGACGCTTCAGTATTTGTTCCTTTTTATGGGTGAATAATATTCCAGTGTATGGATATACCAGATGTTCATTCATTCCCCAGCTGATGGTCATTTGAGTTGTTTCCACTTTGGGGCTATTATGAACAATGCTGCTATGAACATTAGTATAACCATTTGGGTGAACGTGTACTCAGTTCTCTCCGATATACACCTAGGAGTGGAAATGCTGAATGGTATGGTAATTAACGTTTAACCTTCTGAGGAGCAGCCAGAGTGCCACGTATGCTACACCATTTTAAGTTTTCAGCAGCAACACAGGAGGGTTTCAATTTCTCTCCAACCTTGCCAACACTTCCCATGACTCTTAAGCAGCAGTCTTCAAATTGGGTACATGGACCTGGGGATAGGAAGACTTTCCATGGGGGATCATGAACTTGAGCATGATGGATACTTTGAAGACAATTTCAGGCCCTCTGCTTCCATATGAGCTCTTTCCCATGTACACTTGATCTAACAGGCTGAGGAAAGGCCTCTGACCTTCCTCCCCTCTCTTGCTCAATCACCCTATCATACTGCACAAAAGAGGGACCAGTTACTCACCACCCAGAATCTCCTTTGATCCAGTGCATCACCCCAGTGTGAAAACCTTAGCATGAGATTAAGGTAAATGGAGAAGGCAGGACAATACAAAGAATTTCAACAAGAGACACTAAAGGGAACAGGGCCTTATTTCATCTATTCCCCAGCATGGCTCTAAGTATTGCCCATTCTAGAAGAGTGGAATGTTGGGGAGCCTGGGTGGCTGTTGGTTAAGCATCTTACTTTGGCTCAGGTCATGATCTCACAGTTCTGGGTTCAAGCCCCGTGTCGGGCTCTGTGCTGACAGCTTGGGAGCCTGGAGCTGCTTCGGATTCTGTCTCTCTCTCTCTCCTCTCTCTGCCCCTCCTCTGCTTGCACTCGGTCTCTCAAAAATAAATAAATAAATAGTAAAAAATCATGAAAAAAAAGAGTGTAATGTTCAACATAGGGATGGACACTAAAAATTTTGATTACCCCATAAGCGTCACAGACCTAAATGAAAAGAGGCAAAAGTATAAAACTGTTGGAAGAAAACATAGGGGTAAATATTCACAACCCTGGGTTAGAGAAAGATTCTTAGATATGGCACTAAAAACACAAGCATAAAAAAGTTAGGGGCACCTGGCTAGCTCAGTTGGTAGAGCATGTGACTCCTGATCTCAGGGTTGTGAGTTCAAACCTCACATTGGGTATGGAGTCTACTTCAGTTTTTTAAATTTTTCTTTTTTTTGGTTAATAATTTATTTACATCAAGTTAGCATATGGTACAACAATGATTTCATGAGTAGATTCCTTAATGCCCTCTACCCATTTAGCCCATCCCCCCCACACCCCTCCAGTAACCCTGTTTGTTCTCTACATTTAAGAGTCTCTTATGTTTTGTCCCCCTCCCTGTTTTCATAGTGTTTTTCTTTCCTTATGTTCATCTGTTTTGTATCTTAAAGTCCTGATATGAGTGATGTCATATGATATTTGTCTTTCTCTGACTAATTTCGTTTAGCATAATACCCTCTAGTTTCATCCACGTAGTTGCAAATGACAGGATTTCGTTTTTTTTTTTTTTAATTTTTTTTTTAATGTTTTATTTATTTCTAGGAGAGAGAGAGAGAGACAGCGTGAGCAGGGGAGGGTCCGAGACAGAGAGGGAGATACAGACTCTGAAACAGGCTCCAGGCTCTGAGCTGGCAGTCAGCACAGAGCCCGACGCGGGGCCCGAACCCACGAACCGCAAGATCATGACCTAAGCGCAAGTCAGACGCTTAACCGACCAAGCCACCCAGGCGCCCCGACAGGATTTCATTCTTTTTGATTGTCGAGTAATATGGGGTCTACTTTTAAAAAAATTGATAAGGTGGATTCTATCAAAATTGTCAAATTTTGTGCTTAAAAACACACCACTAAAAACATATTTGCAAATCTCATATCTGATAAGCGTGCCTGGTTGGCTCAGTCAGTTAATTGTCTGACTTTGGCTCAGGTCATGATCTCAACATTTGTGAGCTTGAGCCCCACACTGGGCTATCTGCTGTCAGCAAAGAGCCTACGTTAGATCCTCTGTCTCCCTCTCTCTCTGCCCCTCCCCTGTTCTCTCTCTAAGAAACAAAACATAAAAAAAAATTTTTTAAAGAAAATCTTATCTCTAATAAAGAACTTGCATTCAGTACATACAAGGAAGTCTTACAATTCAATAATAAAAAGAAAAATAACCCAATTTTAAAATGGACAAAGGATCTGAGTAGACATTTCTTCAAAGATGCACGCATGACACAAAGCACATGAAAAGTGCTCAACATCATCGGTCATAAGGAAAGTGCAAATCAAAACCACAATATCACACCCGTAAGGGCCACTATCAAAACACACAGAAAATAATACGTGTTGGTGAAGGTATGGAGAATCGGAACCCTTGCACACTGCTGGAGGGCGTGTAAAATGGTGTAGCCCCTGTAAAAAACAAAACGTCAGTTCCCCAAAAAATTAAAAACAGAATTACCAGATCATTCAGTAATTCTGCTTCTGGGTATAGCCCGAAATGAACTGAAAGCAAGGTCTCAAGAGATATTTGTACACTCGTGTTCACGGCAGCACAGTTCACACACAAGAGCTACAAGGTGCAAACAACCCAAGGGCCCATCATGGAAGAATGAATAAACAAAATGTGGTATCTCCATTCAGTGCAATATTATCCAGTCTTAAAAAGGAAGGAGATTCTGACACGTGCTACAACAGGGATGAATCTTGAGGACATTATGCTAGATGACATAAGCCAGTCACAAAACAGCAAATACTGTATGATTCCACTTACATGGGGTATCCAGAGTAGTCAAATACATAGAAAAGGAAAGTAGAATGGTGGCTGCCGGAGGTTAGGAAGAGGGAGAATAGAAGATGAAAAAGTTCTTCTTGCACAAGTACCTTCTTGCACAAGAAGGTAAATATACATAATATCACTGAAGTGTACACTCAAAAATGGTTAAGATGGCAAATGTGTCAAGCATTTACTGGCATTTTTAAAAATTATAGTTGACACACAATGTTACACTAGTTTCAGGTATATTGTTTGTGTTTTTAAAGCACAGTGAGATAGCACTGCCCATTCAGCAGGATGGGGATAATCACAAGACAAGTGTTGGTAAGAAAACTGGAACCTTCATATATTGTTGGTAGGACTATAAAATGATACGGCCACTTTGGAAAGCAGTTTGGCAGGTTCTTAAAAAAGTTAAACATAAACAACAATTCAACCCATCTACCCAGGAAAAGTGAAACCTATGTCCACCCAAAAACTTGTGTCTGAATGTTCACAGGAGCATTATTCACAACAGCCAGAAGATGAAAACAATTCAAACGTCCATCAACTGGTGAACAAGAAAAGGTAAAAAAAAGTGATACACTCATACCATCAAATACTATTCAGTGGTAAAAAGGAATTAGGTACTGATATACACTACAAAATGGATGAATCTCAAAAGCAGTATGTTAGGGGCGCCTGGGTCGCTCAGTTGGTTAAGTGTCCAACTTTGGCTCAGGTCATGATATCTGGTTCGTGAGTTTGGGCCCACATCAGGCCCTGTGCTGACAGCTCAGAGCCGGGAGCCTGCTTCAGAGTCTGTCTCCCTCTCTCTGCCCCTCCCCCACTCATACTCAGTCTCTCTCTCCCTCAAGAATAAACATTAAAAAAAAAACCAAAAAACCCGGTATGCTAAAGTGAAAGCCAGTCACAAAAGGCTAACGCCTTAATGGTGGTGGGGGTGGGGGATCATTCAGAGGAAACGACCACCGGCTGACCTGTGAGCAGATCCCAGCAATCTCCCTCCCCTACCTGTGGACCGTGCCTCCTGCTTGCCTGTCACACTCCCAGAGACTGACCTAAGGACAGGGCCTGGAGATAGCCACGTGGTACGGAGACCATCTGGCTGGTACACATTACTGAACGCAGGTTAAGATCTTGATGTAAATGTGGAAGACCTAGTGGGCGGGTGTGGAGATCTACCGGTGTGGAGGGCCACCCAAGACAAGCTATGTGTTATACCCGCCCCCCAGCAAGTGGCAGCTTCCTCCTGACCTCTGCTGCTTCCGTTACACCCAGAGGCTCCCAACCAGCTGCCAAACCAACAATGACTGACTCCATTTATATGAAATATCCAGATAATGTAAATTCATAGAAACAGAAAGAGAACTGGTTGCCTGGGGTGGCAAGGGAAGCGACGGAAAATGGACATGGGCCATCTTTCTGGGGTCACAGAAATGCTCTAATATAATAATGCCATGGTAATGGTATTACGTAATTCGACTAAAAATCATTAAATTTAAAATGAATGTCACTTATATGACTCAAGAATCTATTTTTAAAAAAAAGTTGGGGGGGGTGCCTGAGTGGCTCATGGGTTAAGTGTCCGACTTCAGCTCAGGTGGTGATCTCACCATTCGTGAGTTCAAGCCCTGCAACAGGCTCTGCACTGACAGCTCAGAGCCTGGAGCCTGCTTCAGATTCTGTGTCTCCCTCTCTCTCTGCCCCTCCCCAGCTCATGCTCTGTCTCTCTCAAAAATGAATAAACAGGGGCAGGGGCGCCTTGGTGGTTCAGTTGGTTAAGCATCCAACTTCAGCTCAGGTCATGATCTCACGGTTTGTGGGTTTGAGCCCCGCATCAGGCTCTGTGCTGAGAGCGGAGCCTGAAGCCTGCTTTGGATTCTGCATCTCCTTCTCTCTCTGCCCCTTCCCTGCTCATGCCCTGTCTCTCTAAAATAGACATTGGAAAAAAATTTTCTTTAATGAATAAACATTCAAAAAAATTTTTGAAAAAAAGTAAAGTCGGGGGCACCTGGCTGGTTCAGTTGGGAGAGCACACAATCTTGATCTAAGTTCAAGCCCCATGTTGGGTCTAGAAATTTTATTTACTTAAAAATAAATTCTTTATTATTATTAATAATAAATAAAATAAAATAAAATAAAATAAAATAAAATAAAATAAAATAAAATAAAAAGTGAAGTCAGCCTTCTGGGTTGGGCAGTGAGGATCCTTGTGACCAGGTAAGTGCTCTGCCATTCAACTTCCATAACCTGAGTGAAATCTCCAACTCCTAGATTTTACTCAAAACAGGATTAAAACATGCATAGGAAAATCACAGGATAGGATGGTAATGATCTGCAACTCTTTAGAAGTATAATAAAAAAAATACTTTAGTTGTCAATTTACAAACGTGTAAGGAAGACCTAAATTCTCCCACCCCAAGCTGGGGAGCAGGGTCACCCCGTAAGTCTGCGTGTCATGGGAACTGGCAAAATAAAACCTTACCCTAGAAGCCAGTGGTCACCCACCCAAACACAGGAGCAGGGTTCCAGTGCATTCTCAACACTTAACTAAGCACAGAACTAGAAAGCCAACATTGGAGGCACCTGAGGGGCTCAGTCGGTTAAGCGTCCGACTTCAGCTCAGGTCATGATCTCACAGTTTGTGGGTTTGAGCCCCGCGTCGGGCTCTGTGCTGACAGCTCAGAGCCTGGAGCCTGCTTTGGGTTCTGTGTCTCCCTCTCTCTCTGACCCTCCCCTGCTCATGCTGCCTCTCTTTCTCTCAGAAATAAATAAAACATTAAAAAAATAAAAAAGAAAGAAAGCCAACATTGAATTGCCGCTCGCCTCCTGTCTGCTCTCACCCTCCGTTGGGGCAGAGCCACGACAGGAGGCATTTGCCTTGCAAAACAGGATGCAGCCTCATGGCTCTCACTGCTCCTGGCACTGGGGCAAAGCCGGAATACACAGATGACCAAAACAAAGAACCAAAACCCCAACCCGTAAATTTCAGTTTGTAGCTTTTACGATTCAATTCCTTCAAGAGTTCTTATTTTTTTAAGTTTATATATTTAATCTCTACACCCAACGGGAGTCTCAAACTCAGGATCCGCAAGATCGAGTGTCACATGTTCCTCCCACTGAGCCAGCCAGGCACCCTTCCTTCAAGAGTAATACTGACCTTAACTGATTTTTCCCAGACACTGAACTCCCAAGTAAGAGCCGACCCAGCCATCCTTGTTCAAATGCCTCTTTCAGGCGGAGGGCACACCCGTCTGGATCACCCCTGTACTCCCAGCCTAGCCAGCCCTGGCTTCCGGCTCCTCCAACCGGGGTGAGCAGATAAGAGCGCTGTCTTGCCCTCCTGGGAATTATTTATTAATCAAACATTAAACAGTCAAATAGGTTATCACCGATGCATAGTTACCACTGCGTGGTAACAGGCTGAGAAGCGGAGGCGCTTTGGAAATGTTGCAACGGGAAAATACATCTGCCCTAAACCTTTATCTACATTAACTCATTTAGGGTGGGTTCTATTATTGCCCCATTTGGGGGATGAGCAAATGGGGGCACAGAGTGGTAAGGTGACTCGCCCAGGGTCACACAGCTCGTCAATGGTCCACCCAGATTCACACGTGGGTCTGCCCCTAGAAGCCTGGTGCGGTCACCAAATCCGCTGCAAGGGTAAAGCGTGCAGGGAAGAAGGAACTGGAGACACTGTACATGGCCAAGAGCTTTCTCCGGGAGGTAAAAGGAGGCCAGGAAGGGCAGATCCAGAGAGCCCGACCTGCTATGATGAAGACACGCCGAGGCGGGAAGGCCAGAGGATGGGCAGGGAGGAGGCAGACGCTGCTGATGCTTCCCGGTTCGTCGTAAGGCAATGCGTCCGGCCCACCTGCCCACTTCGCAACTGGGGAAACTGAGGCCACCAAGGAGCCGGAACACAGGTTCTAAGGCACCAGCCTGCCCCGATCTTCCGGAGCTCCGCATCCAGGAGACGGCTGGGGCACGAAGGCTGCAGGGAGGCGGCGCAAGGCCTGCCGGCCCATGGTGGGCCGCTTACCTGGCCTGCTCCAGAAGTACTTCCACCGCTCCCTCAGAAATCCCCTCGTGGTCCACGCTTCCAGCCTCTTCACTCCCACCTGGCCTTGCGTGCCAGCGGCTCCGCCCTCCGGAGCCCCGCCCCCTGTCCGCACGGCGCGCCCCGGGCAGCACAGGCGGCCCCACAGCGCCCCCTGCAGGCAGGGAGGCGCAGGCCCACGCCCTGCCTTGTTGACTGTTCTTTTCTCCTTCTTAGTAACTCTTTCTCTCCCCTTTGCTTTCCTGTCACTGGCCGTCCCCTCTCTCCCCCGCCTTTCCTTTGCCTTTCAGGTTTTCAATCACACCGTTGTTCTTTCTTTCATTCTTGTTTGTTTTTTTTTAAGTTTATTTATTTTGAGAGAAAGAGGATAGGGGGTAGGGGCAGGGAAGGAAAGAGAGACTCTCAAGCAGGCTCCTCAGTCAGCGCAGAGCCCAACACAGGGCTCCAACCCACGAACCATGAGATCATGACATAAGTCAAAGCCAAGAGTCAGGTGCTTAGCCAACTGAGCCATGCAGGCGCCCCTAGTCATTCTTACACTTAACAATTACGTGTGTGTCAGAAACTGCTCAAAACACTGGAGATAGGGGTGCCTGGGTGGCTCAGTAAGCTGAGCACCTGACTCGATCTAGGTCATAATCCCAGGGTGGTGGGATGGGGCTTCGTGATGGGCTCCGGGAACCTGCTTAAGAGTTTCTCTCCCTTTCCTTCTACCCTCACCTCAAAATGATAGTAATAATAATAATAACAATAATAACAAAATAACACTGGAGACAAGGCAGAGAAGATAAAATTCTGTGTCCATTAGCTTACATTCTGGTAGAAGATGACAAAAAATGAATGACTTTCCAACTTTCTTACCCCCACCCACAGATGCAACATGCTTTACATCACTTTCCAGTACCCCTACATACATACATACACACACACACACACACACACACACTGCCCATAAACCTAACAATGAGGTTTCACAAAGCCATACTTACTTGTAGATTTTCAGTTTCTAAAAAGACAACCAGAGTAGGCATGTGGGTGGCTCAATAGGCTAAATATCCTTTGGCTCAGGCCACGATCTCATAGTTCATGAATTCAAGCCTCAATCTCTTCCTCTCTCTCTCTCTGCTCCCTGCCCCAAATAAATACATAAACTTAATAAGAAAGAAAAGACAACCAGAAAACTTGTGACCAAAGAAAACTAACTTTGTTAGACTTGCTGCAGTAATGGAGAATGCTACCTTGACAGTCTCATTGGTGTCTCAGAATGGGCAGGCATGGAAAGGAAATGTATAGGGCTGGGGTCTGGGCTTGAGTAGTTCAATAAGGTCTTTCAAGACAAGAATTGACTGCAAGTCCATGAGACCTAACAGGCAAGAAAGATGTTACAAAGCGGGGGGAAAGATTAAATTTTAGAAGGACATTTTTGTTTCCTTTAGTTTATTGGCTATCAATGATTGAGTTTAAAAAGCTATAGAATTTCTTCCTTAGTAATATAGCTTTAATGAAAAACACCCTCTTAATTTTAAAGACATGTTAAATATCATTTCCTTGATTTTTAGGGACTAAATAAATTATAAACTTGAATTGTTTTATTTTTTAAAGTTTATTTATTTTGAGAGAGAGCGAGCGAGCGAGCATGTGAGCCTGTGAAAACGAGAGGGGCAGAGGGAGAGGGAGAGAGAATCCCAAGCAGGCTCCGCACTGTCAGTGCAGAGCCCAACATGGGGCTCCAACTCATGAACCTTGAGATCATGACCTGAGCCGAAGTCGAATGCTTAACTGACTGAGCCACCCAGGTGCCTCTGAATTATTTTAAAAAAACAAGAATTGTTTGGGCAAATGTCTTGACATAAATCTTAGCATTAGTGAACACAGCAAAGCAAGGGTCTTAAGGCAAGTTTTAATACGTATACTGCTGTTTGATAAGTAACTTGATTTTCCAGATGAGCAATCTCGATGGGATTCTCAACATGAGAGCCCATCCTGCAAACTGTCCAGATGAATAGATTTGAATGAAGTCCCAAAACCAAATGCTTATTGGTTTATAACCTTATGTTACTGAGCACAGAATCATTTTTGCTGTATTCTACTGGCCAAAGCAATAGCAAAGAGCACCCAGACTCAAGGAAAGGGAAACATACCCTGCCTCTTGATGTAAGGATTGGCAAAGAATGTGACCATCTTAAATCCTACACATTTGAGGGCACCTAGCTGCCTCAGTGAATAGAGCATGTGACTCTTGATCTTGAGGCTATGATTTCAAGCCCCATGTTGGGTGTAGGAATTACTTAAAAAATAAAATCTTTTTTAAAAAAATCCTCCACATTCGGATTCTTTGGAAAATATGGAGTTCCTTCTTCTGAGCTAAAGAAAGAAGAGGGATATGGTGCGCCTGGGCGGCTTAGTCAGTTAAGCATCTGACTTCGGCTCAGGTCATGATCTCGTGGTCTGTGAGTTTGAGCCCCGAGTCAGGCTCTGTGCTGACAGCTCGGAGCCTGGAGCCTGCTTCAGATTCTGTGTCTCCCTCTCTCTCTGCCCCTCCCCTGCTCATACTTTATCTCTCTCTCTCTCTCTCAAAACTAAATAAAGATTTTTAAAATTAAAAAAAAAAAAAGAAGAGGGATATAGGAGAGGCAGGTCATATGGATTGGCAGACTGTTGCCAATTAAACTTTCCTTCTGGCATGGAAACCTAAAAATAACTTCCCTTGCATTCTCTCGTGCCAACTTTGGGTCTCAAGGTTGGGTCCCGTATCCCCAAACACATTTTTCTTTTCTGCAAACCACATCATAACATGAATTAGACTGGAATTCCTTAGGTCTATGACTATATTGACTTTCAAAAAAGTTTTTGTCTCTGAAAAGGTGTTCTACCTGTTTGGGCTAGGGAATGGGGAATATTGGAAAGTGACCAGCTTGCAAAGCAAAATGGAAAAGTGTATAGTGATCAGTTTTTTCTAAAGATTGGATATTGAATGAGGCATTTGTAACCAGCTATAATATCATAACTAGAAAAAACAATAAACCTAAAAAAAGGTTAACATAAAAGCAATTCTTCCCATCTTTACATTATAGTAAATTAGCAGAGAATGAAGAGCAGCCTGATTTGAATAAGCCAAAGAAGATTTGAAGAGCAAAACCAAAAAGGCAAAGTGAGATTTTGATTCAGAATTTTGCATGGAAAGTATTCTTCAGTTTATCTACTTGGTCTGATAGCCTTGGGGTAGCTATTTTTCTGCTCATACTGTTTGCTTCTAGGGGAATCTGAGAATCCTCAGATGGCCGTCCAATTGTCAAAGGGTAAGGAAAAGATAACATGGTAGATACATAAAGTGGAATATTATTCAGCCTTCAAAGGGAAGGAAATTCTGACACATGCTACAACATGGATAAACCTTGAGGACATGATGCTCAGTAAAATCAGTCATTCACAAAAGGGCAAATACTATTTGATTCCACTAACATGAGGTACTTAAGAGTCAAAATCATGGAGACAGAACATAGAATGGTGGTCCCCAGAGGGGGAATTAGTGTTTAATGGGTACACTTTTAGTTTTGCAAGATGAAAAATGTTCTGAATATAGATGATGCTGATGCTTACACAACATTGTGGATGTACTGAATGCACCAGAATTGTATGTTTAAAAATAGTTAAAATAGAGGTGCTTGGGTGGCTCAGTCAGTTGAGCGACTGACTTCGGTTCAGGTCATGATCTCGCAGTTCATGGGCTTGGGCCCTTTGTCAGGCTCTGTGCTGACAGCTCAGAGCCTGGAGCCTGCTTCAGATTCTGTGTCTCCTCCTCTCTCTGCCCCTATCCCGTTCGTCCTGTCTCTCTCTCTCAATAAATAAAATAATAAATAATAAATAAATGTTTTAATGTCAAAATAGAAAATAAAGTTAGCGTAGTAAATTTTGTTATGTTTAGTTTACTATAATTAAAAATGCACTTACTATAATAAAAAATGCACTTAAAAAGGAATAAAGGGGGCACCTGGCTGGCTCAATTGGTTAAGCGTCTGACTTCAGCTCAAATCATGATCTCATGATTAGTAAGTTTGAGCCCCACACCCAGCTATATGCTGACAGCACAGCGCCTGCTTCAGATCCTATGTACCCCCCCGCCCCTCCCTCTTTGTCTTCTTTCTCCCTCAAAAGTAAATAAACATTTTTTTTAAAAGGCAATAAAGGGGCACCTGGGTGACTCAGCCAGTTAAGCATCTGACTCTTGATCTCAGCTCAGATCATGATCTCTCAATTCATGAGTTCAAGCCCCGCATCGGGCTCTGCACTGACAGCACAGAGCCTGCTTGGGATTCTCTCTCTTCCTCTTTCTCTGTCCCTCCACCACTTGCTCACATGTGCACTCTCTCTTCCTCTCTCTTTCAAAATAAATAAGTATTTTCAAAAACGCAATAAAACCCTAAAAAGTGTTTGAGTTTTTCCCTGACATCTTCAATGAATTCACCTTCCTTGCTTTTGTATCAGGATAAGAATCTAATCTATGTTCAAAGGAAATAGCCTCCAGAACAATCTTTTCAAACATTTGTGGCTTTACTAAACCCCTTTGGACAACCTATGCAATTTGGCATCTTTTAGGTCATCTTCAGGGTTGTGAAAACTAATAAAGGGATATCTCACTAAAATAAAGCCAGGAGGCCAGAGGGGGAGCTCTCCTGCCATACCACGTGATGTCTTTTGGGCCGGCTGAGAGATGGGGCAGAGATGCCACAGAATGGCAGACTTCTTGAGATGGCTGACCTTCCCGCCATTTCTTAAGATGGCTGCCCTTCCCGCCAATACATCGGTGACCATTACGACTTTGGCGGGAAACAGAAACTTAGGCAAGAAACCGAAACCTCCCGCCCGGGACTTTCCAGTCAAGAGACCGCCCCTGTTATCTGGACTTTCCCACCCCCACCAACAGATTATAAAACCCCTCACCACCCAACCCCGGCGCAACTTCCCCGAGTCGCGGAACCTCGCCCAAGGGTGCATGCAATAAAACTCCTCCTGCGGAATATCTTGCCTTGGAGTCTTTTTTACTCACTTAAAAA